ACGCTTGAATAAAGCCATGTTGACTACGACGGTACTAGAAGAGAGTAACCATTGACTGAGCTCTGATAATTAACACTTGAGCATTTGAGCAATTCTGTTTCTTGCTGTTTCGATTTTTCGACCAAAGAAATGCTCACAATGGCCTACAGAGTCGTTTGGCAGATAAGGAAGACAGATTTGGAATCATTTAATGCTCTATAAAGTGATAAAGGTCTCATTTGAAAAGGCCACTTCAACGCTTCCTTTGTGAGTAAAAATTATCTAACCATGTTTGAGAATGACCACTTCACTTCAATATAGAGAACAATTCGCTGAAACTTGGCCCATAGGGATTGTTCTGATGATATTTACGATTATGTTACTAATTATGCTTGGTATGGTTTTTATGTCATGCCTACGCGAGGCAAACGATAATGCGGGAGGAGGGGAGTATTGAGACAGAATTTAAGGGAAGGAAGTCTTATCCAGCGGTTGCTGTACCACACCTTTTGCTCCCTGATCTAGGCTTTTCTATGACTGTACGATAGGTCATCAGCAGACATGGCAGTTACAGTACCCTTGGAGCATTATCATTCCAGATCCCTCCCCGAGTCAACATGGTTGCCCTCAGAAAGAGGATTCGTGCAGTTCAAGAAAGAGATGGTTTTTGTACATTTCTTGTGGAAAGGCCGTCATCACTGCATCACGTCACCAACCCAAGTTGTGCTGCAATGAAGCCAGCAGGAATCCCAGCCGATGGCATCATAATGGGCGACGACGCCATTGAAATTGGGGCCCGTGAGGCGTTCAAGTATGCTCGTGTAAAAAACAAACAGGTGAGTATGCCTCCTCGACACTTTGGTTCGAGCTACAATGGTAAAATCAATTTTGGGCCTAAATTCAGCGATTTGAACCTGTCTACACCATGAAGTCCCCATTGCAGTCTGCGGTAGAGTTGGATCTTATTACTGCTTGTGAGGACTCCGAAGGTAAAGCAAAAATTTTCAAGATATTTATGCCTAATGCGGTCATTCCGACTAACCAGTATATCTCTAAAGGCAAACTGAGTTTACCGCTCCATATAAACAATAGCATATGCAGAGATCTTTGATGTTGACTGAGAGACGATGTCATTACTTTTTCCAGGATCACTAATTGTAAGTTAAGCAGACTCAACTTGTGTCTTAAAATCAACTGTTGTTGTCGGCTTTTCTTGTGCGGAGGGCGTTATTTACTAGAGCTTAGGTATACAGCCTGTGAAGCATCGTGGGAAAGATGGTTACTTGCACATGTATCCACAACACATATATTGTCGTAACTAACAATAAGCTTCTACACTACATGAATGATTAGATGACTTGTTTTGTTGGTAGACCTGCCACGACTTTCCGTAAGTCATCTTTTGGGTTATTCCAATACCCAGTTACAATTTGGTCAATCTCAACTGCACTCTAATCGACGCTAATAAAAAGTCTGAACCTAACGAACAGTGTGTTCTTCCTCCACCGTAACGGCCGTTATTTTTTTACCTAATTACTTTGTATCCTCCTTGTAATCCTCTTCTTTCGTCACTCTTCTTCTTTCTGAAATATTTTTGATATTAGGCGCTCAGTATTATGGAGCCCTATGTATGTGAAGATCACGCACCGGAAATTTTATCAAAAATTTCCATCTGTTATTGACTGACCTCATGAGTTCAAACAAATATACAATGATAAACTGCACTTTGACCAAACGAGCCATAGCTTACGGCGATGTTGACGGCGCTTTATTACTTTGAGACATGCTTTAGCGTGAATGACCGCATCAATTATTTTTGTCAGGTAAACCGATTATCGTGATTATAGCAGCTGTCAGCAGACGACGAAGGAAGAAAAGAAGAAGATTAAAATTAGGCGTAAGTGAAAGAAATCATCAACTTGTTTACTGGTTTGCCAAAGCACCTATGCGACCACAACAATTTGATTCGGCCTTTTGCCACTTGGCTCGTTTTCGGAGGAGAGATTTTTGACCTAGTTACATCGAAATTATTACTTACGTGTAAAGATTTTCGATGCACACTTGTTGGATCAGCGGTTTTCGCTTTCCTTTGTTTCCCTGCTTTCCTTTATTTCTGACTATTACAGAAAAATCCGAGGGAGAAAGCAATACCCAGTGACGTTAAGAAAGGGACAACACTATGCAAGGTGAGCCCACAGGGAACTCCGATTGTTATCACACTGGTTTGAGTAGATGGCTGTGGGGAGGGCCCGGCACAGATGGTTTGAGGTCAAACTTAACTTCGTTTTGGGGGTAAAAGCAAAGGGAATATCGTAAAACCTGCCTGGCACAAATATAAGAAGTCTCAAATAGACAAAAGGCTTGTTTACAGCGCATAAGCAATCGTATGACACCGAATTTGGGCTATGTATACACAATATTACTGCAAACTATATTATGTAAAGTTTGGAAAACTTATGTGTCCTAATGCCTGTTCCAGAATTTGTTGG